AAAAAAAAAAAAAAAGAACAACATGAGGAATGAATGAGACTGCATTGTGTGCATACTGGTAGCTAAAGGAATCATTAAGAGAGTGATCAGCCTGGCACTAGACAAAGAATACTGCCTTAATACATGAGACTCAAGACAGGAAAAGGGCGAGGGAGGGAAGGAAGGAAAAGGAATAAAGGCAGAAACAGATGGGAGCTGAAGGGAGAAGGCAAGATAGTTCCCGGGTCAGGCAGGTTTCTTAGTTTTCTTGATAAGGAAAAGGAAACTTTGTTTGCTGTTAGAGAGGTGGTAGTGGGAAACTTCAAGGATCATGGGGGTAGGCACAGATTTGCAGTTACTTTTCTTGAATGGAAAGTATTAAAACTGCAAAAATACAAGTCCTGAAATAAAAATTTTAAAGTATTTTGTATTAATTTTTTACAGTTGTCAAATTTATACCAAAAAGAAAGTGGCAAAACATTTTTCTTTTTTCAGATGACTAAAGGAAAAGTGAAAGCTGGGAAAGTAGACTGTCAGGCTTATGCCCAAACATGCCAGAAAGCTGGCATCAGAGCTTATCCAACAGTTAAGCTTTATCAGTATGACAGAACAAAGGTATGTACGTGTTTTTTCTCCATTCTTTCCTTTAGCCAGTCAAACCCAGGAAATGTGTTTCCAGTCTCTTGCTAGTTTCATCTCTTTTTGTTCTTTTCTTGTATTGCTGAACATTATTGAAGCAAACTATTTGTGTATATACTAAGTGATCTTCAAAAGGTTTTCTGGCTAGAGGCATGGCTCAGTGGTAGAACCACCCACCTGGCAAACACAGGCTCCAGTTGTGCCAAAAAAAAAGTTTTGTGTCTCATGGTTGAGATTTCAGTTGCTTTCATGTTTGGACTCTTGAATAGAAAGAGGCATAACAAAATATTCGTAGGCAGGCAATTATCGTGTAGTAGAATCCAAGGTAATAGTATTCTGTTTAGTTTATTTTTCCTACTTTTTATAGAATAAATATATATTATGTTTTAAATACCCCTTTCCCATAAAGGAAAATTTTAAGAAAATATTTTTACAATGCTTTTGAAATAGTCTCAGTAAATTAGCATTTATCTTAAAGAATTTTTACCAGGGGTTTAAGGTTACAAAATAAAAGTTAAGAGTCACTTGGTATAATGGAGACTTTACCAAAGGGAAAATCTACCAGTCGTCTTCACAAAATGCAAGTAACAACCTCAGATATTTGATACAAAAGCTATCTCTTAGCATATATAATTAGTAACTGAAAAAACTTAACGACATTTGCTGGCTTCTCAAGCAAAAGAATTAAAATGTTTTAACAAAATATAGCATCAATTCAAGAATTTTGAGACAGGATCAAAGCTCAATTTCTTAAAATTTGTTTGTAAGAAGTAAATGAATGAGGATATAGCTCAGTGGTAGAATATTTACCTAGCCAAGAAGGCATAATTCAATAGTCTTCTTAAACAAATGGTACTATTCTTCCTGGACTGAGGCTAATGACATATTTACCTCTTAAATCTTGATATTGCCAGTTGAACTATGTATATGAACAGAACACCAGGTACCTGTAGCTTATACCTGAAATCCTAGCTATTCAGGAGGCTGAGATCTGAGGATCTTAGTTCAAAGCCTGCCTAGGCAGATAATATAATCCAAAACATTCTTACTTCCAGTTAACCTGCAGAAAGCCAGAAATGAAAGTGTAGCTCAAGTGTTAGAGCACCAGCCTTGAGTGGAAAAGCCAAGCAAGACACAAGGCCCTGAGTTCAAGCCACAGTATCAACACACACACACACACACACACACACACACACATATAGAGTAAGAACAATAGAAAATTGTTAGGATACTAAGAATACCTTCTAATAATATGCTGGAATCTAGAGTAATATTGCCTTTGAGCATTTTTATTCAGAACTCTGCTACTGAAAAAGATAAGCTTGTTTCTTTAAGGGAACACCTGTGATAAGCTAACAAGTAATTGTCATATGTTCACACTTTATGGTAAAATATTGAAAGTAATTCTGAACTTTTTTCCTTCTTGAGGGAAAGTATCAGGCTTTAACCTGATATTTATTGGTAGCTCTAATACATTTTGATATAGCTAAAGAAATTAAGTGATGAATTTCAAAACTCTAGAATTTTTCTAGGTTTTTCAGTGAAGGCTTCTGATTTGTCAATAAGTTACCTCTGTCTTAACAGTCTGAAGCTTACAGAACAGTGTGAAGTTCATCTTCAGTCCCTTGGATTACTACAGCTCTATTTTACTGGTCAAAATGACACATGTCTGTAATCCCTGCACTTGGGAAGCTGAGGCAGCCATTGATTGTCAGATACACAGCAAAGATCCTGTGTTTAACAAAAAAAAGGAGGGGAGCTGTTTTCAGTTTTCAAAATAACTGAGAAATGGCTAACATTCATGTGAAATGAAAATCTGAAAGTATCAATATAATGAGCCTTCACAAAGTTAATCAGTCCATACATGGAACCTTTTAAAAAGATTACATTATTGTTTCCAGAGGGGTGTATAGGACAGAGTTAAGTGTCTGCCCCAGTTGGAAGACAAGTGATCCAGAAGACCATGCCAGACAGGCTGGCCAAAGCAAAATGAAGGTTAAAATAAACAGAAGTGCAAATAAAGTGGGTTATTGCACACAAGAACAAAATCCTTGCACACAACCTAAACTTTGGGGTTCATAAAAGGAAAGGGAACCAGTAGCTCCATTTAGAAGATCAGCAAAACTAGACACATTGACCTGCTTCTGCTTTTTTGCCTTCTGCTGTGAGCAGATGAACACTGGAAGATTGCATTGCTTTTTTCATCTGTGGCTGAGTGAGATTCTGTCAGTGCTTATGGTTGTATTAGATTAGAATGATTATTTCAGACATCTCTTCATGTACAATTTATAAATTTTTCTCAAAAATTATTTTCTGTTCTCATAACACTCTTAAAGAGTATTTGCTTCAGATACTGGTTAACAGTGCTTCTGTAGAATTTTTTCCTTGAAAAAAAAAGTAGATTTCAAATACTTAGAATTTTGAAACAGAAGTTTAACCAGTTTTATGGAAGTGTCATGTCCTAATTGAGTATTTTAAAAAAAACATTGTTTCCATCTAGAAAAGTATTAGAGAAGAGCTGATAAATGCCAGAGATGCAAAAACAATTGCTTCCTTCATTGATGGAAAATTGGAATCTCTCCAGAGTCAAGGAAAGAGAAATAAGGTGAGAGTTAAACCTAGAAATACTTTTGTCAAAAGTTAACAAAATTCTTAGCGTGTGTCCATGCATGTAAAATGAAGATTCAGAAAATAGAGAAATTTCTTCTATGGAAAATATGACAGGATATGGCCTCTAGACAATAAAATGCTGAGAAATTTGTACAAGTAAAATCATTTAGCAAATAGTAATGATAAGGTACCTACAAAAACTGATATGCAAGGGGCTGGGAAGGTGGCTCAGTGGTAGAGTGCTTGCCTTGCATACCTGAGGCCCTGGGTTCAATTCCTCAGCAACACATAAGCAAGAAGAAAAAAGCCGGAAGTGGCACTGTGGCTCAAGTGGTAGAGCACTA